AAAACTTGTTATTGATAGCTACCTCTATGCAAGCAAACTACTAGTGGGTGGTTGTATATGGGCTAATCGGGAACATTGGGTCCTAGACAAAGGAAAAAACTTCCTAAAAAAAACTAATCGCTTTTTTTCACTACCTGTATTTATCGATAATTGATTTTAATTGGCCAGTACAATTGTTCAATAAAACCCTAGATTATTCATGAATATAATCATGCAAGATAATGCGGACCATCATGAAATTATTTTTACATAACCTAATGTAAATATAAATAAACTTTCTACGTATATAGAATTAAATAGCGATAGAATTTTATAAACTTTATATAAAAATAATATATGGGGAACCCACAGCAAAAAGAACCAATGGGCGGTCAGTTTTAAATTTTGATTTTTAAATAGATATATCTTATGATCTAGTAATCAGAATCAAATAAATTTTATATCGATGAATCTAATGATACGTATAAAATTATTTGGTTCTGATTACTAGATCATAAGATATATCTATTTAAAAATCAAAAATTAAAACTGCTCATTAGCTCTTTTTGCTGTGGGGGTTCCCATATAGAAATTATAATTAGCAGTTAGAAATTCTATATAAACTTGTAGATCTATTTAGATTTTATACACTTCCTGATATTGTACATACCAGACACAACAGATATCATCTAGTTTATGCAATAAATTTTAAAGTGCCAAAATCGCATTAAATCCAGATTATTTAAACTTTACATATAACTTTATGAAAATAATAAAATTCTTCATAGACTATATAAGACTATACAAAATATACTGGTTTCTCATGATCCGATCGGGTCAAATTCTGTAAAATCTTGAAATAAAATTTTGATTATATTTATTATTCGAGTGAGAGATTTCTAAAAAAAAATTTTGTACAAAAATTTTTTTTAAAAATAAAATTAAAAGTCGAGTTAACTAGGTTATTTTTTGTTACTTATATAAAAACAATAAGGGTGAAAATTTTAATTATGATATAAAGCTGCCGTCCTCAGCGTGAAAATAATCAATAAAAGATAAATTCTTTTAATAAAGAAACATCACTCTTTGGTGTAATCATTTTTTAAAATTTACTAAATAAAAATTATTTGTCATTAGATTTTTGAGCTAATATTCCTATTCTGTCCTTGACCTTCTCTAAGACTATCTTGCAAAGTTTGAATTACATGCATTGATGCACCATAACTTGATTGCCATCCTGGAATCGAATATAAAACTTAATAATCTTTAAAGTATAAATGAGGATAGCAAATAATATTTAATTGATTGCCGTACCGTATCCTCCATGTCCATAATTATGACAGAGTAAAACTTTTTTTCCTGTTTTTTCGGTTACTAAAATCAAAAATATATATCAAACTTTTTTATATAATGAAACGGGAAACGGGACTAGTAGATTTCGTCAATAGTTATTTCGCAAACAATTAAGATTAGCAAACTTTAAATTGAGCTAAATTATCGACGAAATGTTCAATTCCCGCGAATTAGGTTAACATCAAATATATGAAGGAAAGCTCACATAACCATTCTGTCTCTATTCTGATTCCATTTTTTCGAACAGGCCGCAAACCAACGCCATGTCTTTTAATTTTAAGCTTAGTCTCACCTTTAGGTAATAGATCTGGACGTGTAGAAAGGCATCGTGCGATAATCGCATCAGCAATCTTTGCATCGGGAACTGTCGAACTATAATGGAAAATATTAAGTCAATATGAGGCCAAACCTACAATTTTTAAATTGTTGAATACTTGTCATTCTTACTAGTTGTGTAAATCCTACATACTCGTTAATTATTAACAAGAATTA